ATCGTGGTCAAGATATACCCTGTGTTCCTGTCTGAAACCTAGAGCAGAAGCCATCAAACTTAGTTTCTGTTAAAAGGGCCAGAAAGTAAATATTTTCAGCTCTGCGAGCCATACAGTCTCCACCACAACACTTAACTCTTGCCCTGCTAGTGTGAAAGCAGCCGTAGAGAATATATCAACAAACGTCATGACTGTGTTGCAATAAAACTTTACTTATAAAATAAGGTGACAGGCTGGATTTGGCTGTTGAAATTGCTAGCTTCTAAGCTATAATACTTGGTTCATTCATTTATTCATTCATGCAGCCAATGTTCACTGAGTGACTTACCTTACCCACCCAGTTATAGGGCTCCAGGTTATAGGGCTACAGGGAACACCGCACAAGCACCCGCCCTCTTGAAGCTTAAATCCAGGCAAAGTGTTAGCAGTAGCTGGTTTTTTTTGTTGTTGTTGTTTTGTTTTGTTTTTTAACCCATGCCTGACACCCTGAATCTTAACGTTAATACTCTTCACTCTTCACCTAGACTTCAGGCTCTTACTTGCACTTTCGATCATGTGGGGAACTATCAATGCAAAACTATCCATGCCTGGGCCCCACTCCCCAGAGATTCTAATTTGATTGGTCTGGGGTGGGCCTAGGGTTTGATACTTTTACAAGCTTCCCAGGTGATTCTAATGTGCAGCCAGGGTTGTGCCCCACGGCTTGGGGAGCTATTCCCCTCCTGTTTACTCCACTCAACCGTATGAAATAGGGTAAATCTTTAAAGCCCTCAGAGTTTGAGCTGTTTAAAATATGGTCAATGCCAATCTCATAGCATTGTTCTCAGGATGAAATGAGACCACATGCTTTTCAAACCATAGACTGTCACACAATCGTAAGGTACTATTGTCATCCTGCCATTATTATTTGGTTTTAATGTTAGGTGCTGCCTCAATGATTTCTCTCCCCAGTTTTGACTTCAATTCTTTGAACCAAGACTGCATTTGGGATTTCTAAAACAAACTCTAGGGAGAGTTCACTAATAGCCCGGGTTCATGGGTCAGTGAGTTGGTGGCCTTCCCTTTCTTCCCATAGAGGATCACATGGGGCTGCCATTTGTTTGGCATGGGGAACGCTGATGTGTGCTGCCCCACTTTTGTATTAAAGGTCTCTATCTCCAGGCTGAGATTAGTTGACCTTTGAGCACTGCTGTTAAGCCTTGAATAAATAGCTTATTTACTTTGACTCATGGATAAATGTCCAAAACCATGTACTTTCTTGAGCTTAGAACCAGAGAGGGAAAAGTCACTAACATTTTTCTAAGCACTAGGCAGCTTGCTAGATCCTCCCCCATATATTATTTCGTCTCGTCTTCGGAACAAGCCTGGGAAGTAAAAAGAGTCATTGTTTTCATTTGACAGATGAAAAAGGATCAGAAAGGATGAATAGCTTGTGACCTCGTGGTGCCAGAACTCAAACCTGGATCTATTTGATTCTGAACCTCCTTCCACAGAACTGCCAGGCATCTTACAAATAACCCAGCTCCTCTCTGGCCAGAACTCAAAGAGATACCAAACTGCCTAAAGCTTATTTTTCCCAGGTTCTTTTTGAGCTTTGCTTTTTTTTTTTTTTTTTCCTGTGGACGGGAGCCCCAGAAAGCACCCCACAACACCTGCTAACACCCTTAGTCTGATGAGCCTTGCACATTACTGGCAGAATGACACACATGAGTCCAAAGAAAAGGCATTCCCTCTCTGTACAGCATCTTGACAGCGCAGTTTTATAGCCTCATAATGAAACAAGAAAACAAAACAAAACAAAACAAAATGTGAGAAGGGAGCTGGAGAACTAGATACTAGATACTGCCAGGAGTGAGGAATTCACTGACCCCCAATCTGGGCCATCTCAAGAGAAGTTGGCCACTGGCTGAGCCTCTTAAAAGCTGAAAAGTCATCCCAGGCCATGGTTAAAGAGAGAGTTTGAACAAAACAGAAACAAATGCGATCTTCAACATCTTAAATGTCAAACTGACGGATAACTTAGAAGCTCCGAGATGGGCCAGGAGAACCTGCAGCTGTTCTCTCCAGCATCTCATGCTCCTTCTGACTGCTGGAGGAGCCACCCCCCCGAGATAGTGTATCAATCGGGGGCCACCTCCTCACCCCATGCCCACCAGAGATACCTGTGGATAGTGAAAGCTCCCGTTCTTTAAAACCCATCAGAGTCTCCCCTTGCTCTGACCTGAGCACCCTGAGAAGCAGTGGCTGCCTATCCAATCTCGGACCTCAGGCTGGTGGTTCTTCGAGACTCACCTGATTCTTGACCTTCTGGTCTCACCCGCAATAGACCCATACAACCTGCTCCACTGCCATCTTCCCCCCTGAGAGATCTCCAACACAGAAGTGGTTTCCGGGCCAGATACCCAGGCTGCCTGCCACCTCCTCTCACTGTTCAGGATAACAGACCAGGCATGCTCACCGATCATCCCTACTGGTCACCCTCTCTAGAGGGAGGAAAAAAGGGTGACTGGAGCCCTAGACTGCCAACCATTGGCCTTCAATAATGGACAACATGTAGCCAGATTTGAGGAAAGGTCTTTTCCAAAAATCATGGAGTCCTGATGGCTGAAAAATGAAGAAATAAAATCACGCTATTCCTTTCATTAAGGCTGTATTATCACTAGCTCCATTCTCGGTCCTTGTGCATAAATATCGGTTTTGTAATATCCTTGTGAGGTCATTATCCTCACTTTACACACGAGGAAGCTGGAGCTCCGAAGGAATAAGTGATATACACTCCAGGTCCCTAATTCTCTCCCAGGGCAGTCTGCTCTGGGTCTGCACTATCTCTATTATGCCAGGGTGCATCTGAAATCCAGAGCAGAAGGACACAGGATCCCCAAACACAGAGGCTCTGGCTGTGGAGGCTCCTATGCTATCAAAGCCAAGATGTTCTTCCTGCCAGGTGCCATCTGCCCTTTGGACCATCAGGAGAGCCCAAGGATGCATCTTCTCTAAGTATTCAGAACTCAGAGATGACCTAAGAGCAGGCCGGAAGCTGGAGCTGACCGAAGGGGCGAGGAGATCAGCCCAAATGTCAGTGGCCTGGGAACTTGACCTGGGTCTGAAGTTGGCGAAGCATCCCCAGAGCCCACCTGGAAAGGTTAGAGCTCCACTGAGCCTCCAGAGAAACCCCACAGGATGAAAGAGTTGCAAGCCCAGTTCTAGCCCTCGGCTCTCCCTGAGGAGTCCTGCGCGGAGACAAGTCCCTGAGTCTCCAGCCTTCTACTTGCAAATAGTGGGAATGAACTGAGAACATGCAAAATTGGTCCTTCCAGTGGCTCCACCAAATATCACAGAAACAAGCCTGTGCCTCATCAATTATCTTTGTAGCCTCCAGACCACCTGCACGGAGGCTCACCCTCTTCTTTACCCCTGGATCCGGGCTCTTCCGTGAGGGGCACAGTTTAACCTGTTTAGTTTCGAAAAGTCTGAGGGTGGGGGAGGGGGGTTGTGGAAGCAGACTGGGGAGAAAACATGTTCCCACAGAGAGCAGTAGGCTTTCAACCTCCCCCACACGCACCAAAAGAAAACACACTCGCAGGCCTTCTTACGGGTCCTGCCCTCTCCAACTCCTGCTTCCTGAACTCCTGACTTTCTTCTGAGTTCTAAGGCCCAGGAAAAGTTTCTCTCCTCTTTCTGTCCTGATGGGGGCACGAGTATTCACTCAGCATCCTGGGGATCTGGAGGCAAAGCTCTGCAAACTTGGGAGTGAGGAGCCAGAGCAGGCAAGGAACAGGCAGCCGGACAATAACAGCACAGTTGTTTTTTGTAAAGGAAGAAAAGGGAGGCAGCCCAGCTCCCAGCACAGAGGAGAAGTGGGCTGTTTGTGCTTTCGTGCCTGAGGCCAGGACCATCCCCGCACAGTCACGAAGGCATAAACATGCGGCTGCACGTGCGTGCGTCCTGCCCCGTATCCACGGACCCCTGTTTACACGCACTTTTGTTTACACTGCCCTGGGGATGCCTTCCCTCCTCTTCAGAACATTTACATTGAAGACATAACTTCTGCAGTGAGTCTTTCTGACACTGTGGTCTGCTCAGTCCTTTACGGCACTTCCCTAAGGGGTCAATTTGTATAATTTCTAAAATCCATCCCAAATCTCAAACTTCCTGTTGGTCCGTTTTTTTTAATACCCATATTTCCTCCCTGTCCCTTCATTCCCTCACTTTTCTAGGACACAGGGAGAGTCCAGCAATCCTCCTCCCACCCAAACATTGTAGGTTGGCTCCATTGCAAAATATAAAAGCAGAGACCCAGCTAGGGCAAAGCCGAAAGGGCTCCCCCCCCCTCTCTCTGTGGTCCCTGATTCTTGGGCCCCCGCTCCTGACATCCAGCACCGTGTCTGGGCGCCCCCAGGGCCAGCAGATCCACACAGCCAGCGCCCCCTTCCCCCTACTCCCAGAGCACATTCCCTGTCCGATTCCTGGGGAAAGTCCATTCCCTCCAACAGCCCACTTTTCAGAGAAATCCAAGAAACTGACACCAAACCCGGAAGAAGGGCAAAGGCAAAACTCAGCTATTGAAAGATGGTAAGTTGCTTGCATTCCCATGTAGTTTTCAAGGAAAACCTCCAGGGACCGGTTCCTGGAGAGGCATAACTTTCCTTCCTACCTTCCCCAGGAACTTTGGCAAATCCACCCCAGAGCTGTGGAAAAGTGGCCAAGGCAGAGAGAAAAGAGTTAAATCAAGCCCAGACCTCAGCAATCTGTGTTCAATTTTGATAAAAATCTCTCTCCCTCTCCCCCACCACCCCCCTTCCTCCACCCCACGGTTCAGACCCGTCTCTTTATGTTAGGACCCTGCATCTTGTTTCTCGGGCACCGCGGCGCTCCCGGGCCCCGGGCCGGCCCTCGCAGCGGGCACAGGCGGCAGACGCATCCCTCCCGGTCCCCGGGGCAGGACTGGACAGGGCCTCGCAGTGCCCCGGCCGCCGCCGCCGCCGCCTCCTTCCAATTACCTGCCTCCAGACTGGATCCTTCCTTCCTCAGTTAAGCCAAAGTCCCATTGCCTGGCGATGTCAGGGCCACAGCAGGAGGCTGGGCGGCTGCCGCAGGTGCTAAGGTCCCCCAGAGCCAGGCCCCTCTTTCCGGGATGCTCCTTCCCTGCCCAAGGTCCCCCTGCGGCCGGCGGAGCGCAAGAACCTCCTGCTGCCTGTGCCCTGCCTGCTGGCCGGAGGCCAAGCTTGCAAGTGGGAGCCGGGGCTGGGGAAGAGTCAAATCGTCCGAGGGAAGGCACAAGGCTGAGCCGAGCCGGGGGAGAAAAGCCGCCACCAAAAAGTTGTCAGTTTGGTGGTAGTTAGTGGAGGAGGGAGTTGGGGGGGGGGGACCGGCTGGGTTCAGTCCACTTGTGACAACAAGGAATCAGATTTCAAAGCCGCCCCCCCCAAAAAAAAAGTTTTTTTCCCCCCTAAGTTTTCCAAAGACATTTCCTGTGCCCAGATGTGCCAAAACAGCCAGACCCACGCAGATCACACCCGGACGCGCACAGACACGCACACGGCCCCGGGGAGCCCCGTGCGGTCCCGGCGGCTCCTGCAGACCCGCGGCAGCCACACAGCGGGCAGGCAGCCTGCGGCCCCGGAGAGAAGCGCGGAGGTGCCGGCAGCGAGCTCCGCCGCCCCGCCCCGCCCCGCCCCGCCCCGCCCCGCCCCTCCCCGCCCGGCCCCGCGCCCCGCGCCCCGCGCCCCGCCCGGCCCCGCGCCCCGCGCCCCGCGCCCCGCGCACTTACTCCGAGGCCCCGGGCGGCCGCCGCTCCCGCAGCCCCGCCGCCCCGAGCCGCCCGCCGCCCGCCGCCGCTCGCGCAGCCTCCGCTGGGCGCCCCGGGCTCCGCGAGCGCCGCTCCCCGCCCGCTCCCCGCCCGCTCCCCGCCCGGCCCGCGCCCCCGCGCCCCCGCGCCCGCCCCCGCGCCCGCGCCCGCCCCGCTCTGACGTCAGGCGTCTCGGAGCGGGATATTTATGGCAGGGCCCCTCCGGACCTTCCCCAGGCAGCCTCTGACTGCAGCTCCTGGGGATTTGTGATTTTCACACTTTCAGACCCAAAGGAGGGGCGCGGGGCGGGGGCCGGGCGAGCGCGGCGGGGGCCGAGGCGGACAGTGAGCGGAGCGCGGCCTCTGGGGCTCCCCGGGTTGGGAGCAGGGGAGGTCAAGGAGGCGACGGTGGCGACCGGGCAGCGGCCTCCTGCCCCCCTCCACCCCCACCCCCTGCCCGGGAAGGGGTGACAAGACCTGGGCTGAGCCGGCTGCCTGCGGGGCGCACATGCCAGGGGGACGCCTCTCGTCCCCCCGAGTGCCCCCCCCCCCGGGGCGGGCGGGGGGACCAGAAGGCCCGGGAGGGAAGGCGCTAGCACGAGGACGCAGATAGATCAGGCACACCAGAACAGCTGATTAGAAGGCCCGGTCCACACCCTAACAACTTTTCCATTTCTTCTTTGGGAGTATGTACAAAAAAAAAAAAGTTTATTTTTATTAAATTACGTTCCACACTCCCTGCCTCTGTATGGCTTTTCCAACTCAATGCCAGTCAATTCATCTTACTTCACTGCTTATATACAGACTTTGAGCCATTTACAATAGCTCTTATTCATACTTTCAAAGCTCGCTTTTAATTCTTTTTTTTGTTGTTGTTTGTTTTCCTTGAATGTGATTGTGATCCATCTCCTTGCCCCCACGGGAAGTCACCTCAGTCAAGAGCAACCCTGTCCTCCATAACTGGCACCACCCTCAGGGTGAGTAGTGATCTCTGTACACCACCACCCCATCACCCCATCCCAGGAGTGTGCAGGCAGAGGGTGCCCACACTAGGTGATGACCCTTGCAGAGTTTTCTAGGTGTTTAGGACCAGGTTCCAGTGGTCCCTCCACCCAGCTAACAGGGCTTCAAAAGACGGCTTGGCTTAGGGACCCTCTTTCAAGAATGGAGAAAACAAGTTATAATGCTTTATCCTTCGTGCTCCCCAAGGACTGAAGGATAAACACAAACGTGATACACATGATTGTGCAGATTGCTTGTGTAGTTCGATAACAGAAATGTGTAGGTATTAGACTCCTCGTTAATGCGAAGGAGCACGGATAACCGCAAAGCATCACTAAGAAAACACCACTCTGGTGAACTTTCCATTAGCCCAGATGGGGTAGGTGGGGGATGCCTTAACCACTGTTACAGGGCAGCAGGGATTCAAGGAGTTGGAATGTGTTTACCCCTTTGGCAGGAGCTGGTAAAGGCTGATTGCCAGAAGGAGCCAAGTCTTGGGGCTGAGCCTCTTGATGGGGGGACAGCCAAAATGTTTTGGTCCAAGCCGCAGAGGGCCCACAGCCCTGCTCTTTGGTCACTGTCAGTTTGCCCTCCGGAGTATAATACACACTGCCACCTCCCTCCATCCCCTTCCTCACATCAAGGCTCCACTGGCAAGATGAGCCCTGCTCTATAGAAGACATTAAAAATTGGCTTCCAAAGCCAGTGATAGGCCCCTTCTCCCTTGCCTTCCTCAACTAAAGAAACCGGAAGTCTACAATATTCTCTGCCCCAGACTCTGGTAGCTAGAGATAGCTAAGAAACCCAGTTCTGGCCAGTGAGGTTGTCATGCGGAAGGCAAGAGTCAGCTTCCAGAAAAACTCTTTAAGGAAAGGTCAAATTCAGATAGCATGCCCCTTCAACCATTTCTCCTCTTTTGGGATGTGGATATGATGCCTGGAGACACAGCAGCCATCCTGTAACCTAGGGAACAAAAGCCACGCACTTGAAGATGGTGGACAGGAAGAAAGAAGGAGTTAAAACCCCGGATGACATCAGAGTGTGCTTTCCTCTGACTTCTTGTTAGGTGAGAAAAATAAACTCATACGTGTTTAAATCATTATAGTTGAGTCTTCTGTTGTTTACAGCCAAATATAATCTCACCTCATACATCCCAATCAACTCACCAAGATATAACATGATATTGGGACAATTCCTGAGCACTAGCTTATAGGTATGATGATTATTTTTAGCATGAAACTCTGCACTGGCATAATTCTTTATAGTTTTCAAAGCCTATTCACATATATCTCTTCTGAACCTTACAACTGGGGAGCTATCACTATAACCTCCATTTTTTTATATAAGAGAAGCCAGATCTGATAAATGCCCTGCCCAAGATACATAGTGAGTGAATAAGCTACCTTGAATGCTAACCTAGTTCCTCTGACTCCAAGTCTTTGGAATTTCCACATTTTTAATAACACAACAAAGTCTGATGAAGAATCCTTTTTTTTTTTTTAAGATTTTTGTTTATTTATTTATTGGAGAGGGAGAGGGAGTATGAGCACAGAGAAGGGGAGGAGCAGAGGGAGAGGGAGAAGCAGACTCCCCACTGAACAGAGGGCCCAACACAGCGGGGCTCATCCCAGAACCCCGGGATCATGACCCGAGCTGAAGGCAGATGCTTAACTGACTGAGCCACCCAGGCGCTCCAAAGGAACAATCCTTATTCCTACTAAGCTGATGTGAATTTTACTTACTTCAACCAGATGAAGGAAGCAGTTCGCAAGTAAATTCTGGAACTGGAAAGTGTCACAGTCCACTTGGGAATTAAGTCCAGTCCACTGTGTCTTCAGATCCCCCTCAACTCCCAGCTACTCTCTGACATCCTGCTCTGAATCCCTGCAATTGCTCTTTCTAAAGTCAATGACCTTTTGTATGAATCAGTCTTATCCATCTTCATTCCCACATCCTTTAAAATGCTTATGCCACCCTTTTCTTGAGGCTCCTCTCTCTCAGGGACATCTTCCCATCACTTCAACTTCCTTGTGTGGTTTCTCTTCCTGGTTATTCCTTTACTTAGATGTTAACATTCCTGCGGGATCTGTCAGTAGCTCTCCTTCTCCCGAGAGTTGTAGGCTGTCCTCTGGTTTCATCTTTTCTTTTTTTTTTATTTTTTTTATTATTTATGATAGTCATACAGAGAGAGAGAGAGAGAGAGGCAGAGACATAGGCAGAGGGAGATGCAGGCTCCATGCACCAGGAGCCTGACGTGGGATTCGATCCCGGGTCTCCAGGATGCACCCTGGGCCAAAGGCAGGCGCCAAACCGCTGCGCCACCCAGGGATCCCCTGGTTTCATCTTTTCTTGTGAGTTCCACCATGAGCTCTTGGGAGAAAGTCAACCGTTGTCTCTGCAACCAAATATCTATGCCAACCACCATTTTCCTCCCAACTTTGGTCCCCACTTTTCCAACTATTTATTGTCATATTGCCCAGCATGTGGCCGTGATTCAATAAATGGCATGTATTTTTAATTATCATTGTTGTTAAAAAAAGACACAGGAAAGTTACTAAGGTGTAAGAGACTTTTACGACTGACTCATTTCTGGTATCAGGTACTATGATGGGACCATTCCCCCTTGAAAATCATGCCACAGGCCAATCTAATTGTCCACAGTCACAAGGAGATGTAGTGTAATTCATAGAAATTAGCAGCAGCAGTCCAAATAGAAATGAAGCAGCAGACCCAAGGAGAAATAGAATATCCTCATTAACTCCTTTTAGAATTAACTCCTTTTACAACATCCTCATTAACTCATTCCAGGCAAAGCAGGAGAAAGGAAGGAATTAAAGATGAGGTAGGACAGGTCCAGACACTTAGCAGTGGTGGCTGGGAACGCGGGAAGTGAGGCTGTGTAATAGGAGAAGGGAGTCTATGCCTGCCCAGGTGAGCTTACTCGGGTTCTGTTGGGAAAAGGAGCCACAGAAGCTCGTAAAACATGTGGATTTCGGTACTAAGGAGCTGTTTTTTGAGGCTGGTAAGCCCTGAGGAGTCCAGAAGGTAGGAGGGGCCTTTCCAAGGTCATGTGATTCACACTCCACCCACCCTCCCTCCCCAACCCATAGAGTTTTTTTTTTTTTAAGATTCTATTTATTTATTCATGAGAGACACACACAGAGAGAAAGAGAGAGGCAGAGACACAGGCAGAGGGAGAAGCAGGCTCCACGCAGGGAGCCCGACGTGGGACTCGACCCCAGGACCCCAGGATCACGACCTGAGCCAAAGGCAGAGGCTCAACCACTGAGCCACCCAGGCATCCCTAGATTTCTAAGGTACTTAGGCATCTCCTATTTTCAAGAGAGCCAGGGAGGGAGCCCCACCTTGTTTTACCCATCAGTCATCAGCTGATTTAACCAGGCAGGTTCCCTGAACACACAGTGAGACTGTGCAGCACACTTCTTACCTAGAAAAGTCTACCTCTTCACTGAGAGATCCTCAAATAGTTCACCAAACTTGTCCCGGGTTCCAGAGTCGACCACGTACTTCCAAGGCTCAGTCTATTCATGGGGAGAAGTAGGCTTCACAAAGTTCCCTCCTTGCTCACTCCCTGGGGTACAGCTCCCGGTCTATACTGCATGGACCTTCGCAGCACTTAGCAAAGACCTTTTGGAGAATGAATGAGAAGCCAGTGAATATGCTATCTAAACAAGATAAGGCTCTCTATGGATAACATGCCTTTTTTCCTTGACTTGCTGACATGGGCTATAGAAGGTCACGAAAAGGGGTGCCTGGGTGACTCAGTGGTTGAACACCTGCCTTTGGCTCA